TATATATAAAGTTAATATTTAGACTAGTTTTGCCCTTCTTTTAAAAAATTTCATCAAATAGAAAATAGTTGAGGAAATTTTTGTTGGTTATCTTATCTGAATATATAAAGTTAACATTGTGAATAGTTTTTTCCATCAAAAATTTTTGTCAAATAAAAAATAATTAAGGTAATTTTTTGTTGGCTCAAAATAAAGGTTTAAAACTAATTATTAATCGTATATTAATATTATTTTATTTTATTATATAAAGTTTTAATATTTGGAGTAGTTTTTCCCTAAAAAAATTTTGTCAAATAATAAGAAATAATTAAATAAATTTTGTTGGTTCAAAATAAGGGTTAAAAAGATTACTAATCTTATCTTATATAAAGTTGTTAATATTGCACGTCCTAGCTAGGGTATTAATAATGCCAATTAGTATTGTCTTAATAATTTTATTGTTTTATTTTACAAATTAATGGTTGAAGTATAATCATGCTTAGTCACATAAAATTTTAATAAAATTTTGTTAGGAAATTTGTTACAATAATTTTGAGATTATTATTATTTTCTATTAACATTGTTTCAATTGTTTTGTTGATAAAATAATATAGAATGATTTTATATGTTGATTAAATTAATAATTATGTATTATAACTTATAATTGTTGTGTTTTTATCTCTTATAATGTATTAGGTTGTGATAATTTTGATATATCAATAAATGTCAATGATGCTTTTTTATTCTGATCATAGTTTCAACTATTTTATTCTAATATAAAAATTAAAAGTTAATATATACTTTTTTATCTTTATCTCATTTTCTTCAATTTTCTTCTCCTTTTGGTTTGTAAAATTTGTTTCTTGCTATAAATATAACAGGTGAACATATATATAGTATTAAGGGGATTTGCCTCTTAGTTTTGCATTTTCGATCTTCGACTATAAATCACATAGGATTCTTAAGTGAGGGTGAGAATAAAAAATATTATTCATATTTTTTGACAGTCCAATTTTTAACTTTAAATCACAGAAGGATGCATGTTTCCTCTCCAAAGTAAAATTAGCATTGAAAAAATTGTTTATTTTTTTTTAGAAAATTATAGATATATGTTGTACAATGTAGGTATCATTTCTTACATGTAATTAACATTTTGTTTTATCAAATATTATTGCATTCCACTTCAATTGTGATTTTCAACTATTTTCCTGAAAAATTAGGAACTATATATCAACCATTATTTAATATATTAACAATTTGAAAATCATTAAAAAAAAATTAAAATTATATATATATATATATACATATTATTTGATTATTATTTAACTTTTAACTTTATTTTTTAAAATAATAATAAATATTACTTCTCTACTTGTAATTTATTCAATATATAATACATGTACACGGACTAGTTAAATAGATTTAATATATGTAAAATCACATTATATATGGTTAGGAAGCATCATCTGGGGGAAATGTTTGTCATCATACTTGTGCAATAATCGTTTAAGTGGATCTTTGCTAACAATTATTCCAACATGTCTTTGACAACCTGTTCAGTAGTATTAGGAGTGTCCTTCATTCTGTCAATTTTTAGAAACAAATATAGGAAACAACAAGTTGTAAAAAGTAAAAACTAATGAAATATTTAAGTTTAAAAAAGAAAAAAAAAAGAAAAAAAGAAAACGAAACTTACATGAGTTGGTTTAGTTTTGGGGTCATGTCATGTATGTGTGCTCTTTTCTAATTATTATTTTTAAATTATGTTATTAATATGAAATATTTATTGATATATAATTAATATATAATTTTATTAAAAAATTTGAATGATATTTTTTTATTTATTGAAGTTTACCTTTCTAATTACTTTTATTTCATTCACAAAGTTTAAATTTTGAGATTTTTGTTAGCAACCATATTATTGATATCAAGTATTTTTTGACTTTGATGATAACATATTTTTATTATGAAACTTAACTGGTCTCTCCTCTCAATACCTTATATATATATATTTTAAGAATTGAATTTAGTACATTGATGAATAAATATTAACAAAATTGATAAACTTGCAAAAATAAGTTTAAGATGTAGGCAACCATAGTTAATGGAAACATGCAGCTCATAAAATTTTCCATGTGAAAAAGATGATATCTATCTGCAATAATGTACAATAACCTTGAAGGAACAATCTCTTATTAAAGTGGCCTATATGTCCTACTCGGATGAAAGAAATGTGTAGTTTTAAAAAACGGTTGATATGATAGAAATTTTTTTCAGAAATCATGATTTTTTAAGAATAATTAAGATTTGTTTAATTATTCATAAAGATTCTTAACTAATTAACTAACTAACTAACTAACTAACTATGTATATATATATATTCTAATTCTCAACTCTCATGAAAATATTTTTATGAAAAAGTAAAATAAAAATGATTCTAAAAAAATTGTATCTCTTAAGAATTTTTTTTAAATAGTTATCAAACATAATAAATTATAAGATTTCTAATTAATTAAAAATTTCCAAAAAAGTAAACTCATTGCTTACATTAGAGTTAGGGGACGTGTCATCAAGCCCAGCATTTTTGTTTAGTATACTGGAGTTAGAAGTTGTACGCATGTGGCATGTGGCATGTGGCATGTGGCATGTGGCATGTGGCATGACGGCAAAGCAACTGAGAGAAATCGAATCTTTGATATTAATTAATGGCAAGTTTGGACTTCGGATAAGATTTTTTCACTCATTGCAAAAATGGTCATTATTTTTGGAAGAATGTACGGCTCCATGTTACAATTAATGGATCGATGGTTTGCGATATTTTCACCCTTATCCCAATGATATCCCTAGAATGCAAAAGTTAAAAAACAAGTTTCAAGGTTTCACCCAAACCAACGAAAATAGATGCTCATGATAAGCATTAATTCATGGACAATATCATTTGTTTAACACAAATTAATTCAGTACTGAGTATATATGTTCTTTTTCTTTCGTTAGATGCAAAACCAAGAATGTTCCAAGGTACTGCAGATAACATATAAGACTTTGGTCTTGCTTATGAGTTGTAACAAACGGCTGAGGATCCATAAGGTTGTATAGTATAGCTCAGATTGAATGTAAATAATTGAACATGGGATTCCTTTGGACCATTAATGTATTACTAGATTGGTTTGATCCTTACATAACATTGCACTGAGAATTTTGAACGACGTGCTCTAAGTTACTGCGACAATATAATTACAAGATTGGGTTAATTCATAATTGGAAGCTGAAACTTTACTTAAATTCACATGTGGGGGACTGGGAACTTGTTGCAGAGAAGACAGAACACACAGGATATTGAGAGTTGAATTGTGGAGTATCACTGTAGCATGATTACCATCCACTATACCTAAAAGGAAAATTCAAGAAAATAGACAAAAAAAATTCCCTCGTATTTGGATGAAATGACCCGAATGTTAATGCGATTTGGTATATAAAATCTGGAGTAAAATAAAAGTTTGTTTTGGAATGAAATTTTAAACTATGGCAAGTTTTAAAATATGTTAATCTTTATAAAATAAATCAATACTTTTTTAAAATATTAAATACTAGGATTTTAAAAATAACTTCAGATGCTCATGCAACGCTTTAGATATTATGGATATTATCTAGAATCTAATCACATAAAATCTGCTAGTGTTCTCAAATTAAACATTTGGTGAATTTGAAATGACGAATTAAGTATATTTGATACTTATAAGGTTAAAGTAAATCTACTACTTCGGTGATACATAAAGTTTCCTTTGAGTAAAAATAATTTCTAGTCATTGTAAATACTTGTAACTGGACAGTAATTCACTAATATAATTAGTTAAAGTAGTTTGAAAAATATATTTATCTATCTATTTATAAGATAAAAGTTGAAAAATATATTTATCAATCCATCATATTTTTATTTGTCATGTTAGCTAATTTGTTTGTGTCAATATCTTAAAAATTTTACTTCTTATCAGATCTCCTTTACTTAATTAACCAATCAAATATTATTTATTTAAAGACTAATTTAGATCAAAATTAACTACTCATTGTTGATATATATTCATTCTCACTTCTGCCTTTTCACTATTCATAGATATTCAATTCATATTTTTTTCTGTGACAATTCCCGTAAATATTGCTTATTTGGGATTCCTTATTGAAAAAAATTGGCTTTATGGTGTAAAAATGAAGATTGCTTAAAAGTAATTTCGTTTCCTCTTCTTAATCAACGACTAAACACGGAAATCAAGGTTGAGTCTATTAGAAGGGGTTAGTCACTCACATTCACAATGTAGTGAATTAAACTTTGAATTCCCACCGAAAAGATGTACATACTTAATATCTAATAGTAGCTCAAAAGGTATTTTTTAATGGAGGATAGTTGTGAGAACCCAAAAAAATGATTAAACATGAGAAAGCAAATCACCATTAATGACCAGTCATCAATTTGAAATAAATCCAACTGTTTGCTTTATTCAAATTCAAGCCACCACACTTAAAATGTCTCATTTTCTCCCTCAAATATCAAATATAAAAATTTCCACAATACAAGCCTAATTTCGCATAAATAATTCCTCCTTATTATGGTTATCAATATTTATTCTTGAAGGAGATATCAGTATATCACGAACTAGAAGTCAACAAACTTCTTTTCTTTTAAACTTTCAACTGTCTCCCTTAGGCTTACTTCCAAGGGAATAAATTCAATTCCCAAGCTCTTTGCCTTTTCTTTGGAAACCTGAAATGTTGGCATAAATGGTTCATCGTCTTCGCACCTGATGACATTGTTAAGAAAATGAAGATGTTATCAGAAAAATTACACGATAAACTTAATTCTTTAAATATAAAATGTAATTGATGAAATCACATGAATAAATTTGGCCAAGCTGTTTTAACAAATATGATCCCCCTAGTTTCTGTTTTTCTTTTTTGAATTTCCTATATATCCTCACTCACATGCTACATATGTGAAACTATTCTTTACATATAGCAATTTTTTGTTACGCAGCCTTTCTCATAAGGCAAAAAATCAAACTTTTGCACTCACCGAAAGCCCAATTTACTTATCAATGTACCCCGATCCTACTCACTATGAAACATGGTAGTTTGTAATTGAATGTAAAACTACTTTATAATATTAATACATAGCCATTTTTCTTACACACTATAAAAGAAACACTAACTCAAACGTAACTAAATTAAAGAACTAAACAATTAGTGCAGAGTAACTGAATGGTCTGAATTGCTGCTACATTTTTCAATAATTAAACTTACTTATCTGAAATTTGTAAAGTTGGGTACATGTCCCGTAAAATCTTTGCAATTTCGGAAAAGTGTGCCACTCTTTCAGCTAGACAATATCTTCCACTAGCGGAAGCAATCTCATACGCCTGAACATGCGCATTTGCAACATCTTTCACGTTGATCCAACCAAAAGTAGTATTTGGAAACGTTGGTGAACCTACATTAACCACGTGAAAGTAAGAGTTTTTCTGTTAAACAACACTACAACATGACAGTTCTTATTTGATACACCACATAACAAATCCAATAATATTAATCAAAGTAACAACTAAATAATTTATTACAGACCGATGACATGATTTTTCTTAAAGACTGAAATCAGTGTTCTCGACAAGCACTAGATGAGAATGTTGTAGAGCATAAGACTTGGTGAGTAAATAAACATTACCATTGATTAGATTTAAAATTGAAGCAGAACTTGCGTTAAGCTCTGGTTGCAAGAGAGGGCCTACACACATTGCAGGGTTAATAATAACCAACTTAATGTCGTATTCGCTAAAAAAATTTCTAGCAGCATCCTCTGCCACAGTCTTTGAAAATGCATACCACCTCTGTAAAAATAACACACAAATTGAAAATGTCTTGAAAATTAAAGAGCATGTTAACATACTAACATGCACGACAAATTATTGATTATTAATTATTAATTTTGTGTATATTGAAGAAGAAGGGCACATACCTCAAGTCCCCTTAAGATATTTGGATCTGAAAACCAAGTCTCATCAACTACGACCTCGGGAGTTCGTGGTCTTCCATTATATAAAACGGCAGCAACAGAAGACGTTAAGACAACTCGTTTCACAGAAGTGGATTTTGCACATGATTTAAAAACGTTAAGAGTTCCTTTCACCGCTGGATCAATTAATTGACTCTGAAATAAGGAAAACAACATTAACTACAATTGTATCTTTCTTTAAACATCATTACTAAAGAAGGAGAAACAAAAGATTTATAAAAAAACACACACTCCATTGACATGAGACTTTTTTTTTAATGATAATTAAAAGCAAATTCATGAGAGTTTAAAATGCACATTATCATATTAATGAGGAGATGTGTGTGAGTGTGAACACTTGATACACAGTAAAAAGATATAATACTATTGAAAAACATCCTTTTACAAAATACAAAATACCCCATCAACAAACATATTCTATTATTAGTATGAGATCTTCGAGTGATCACCAAAAAACAAATTCACTAGAGTTTAAAAGTCTAAAATTGACAATTTCTTACCAAGGTGGAAGTATGTATGAATATCCGATATACAATAAAATATAATACTCCACTTGAAATATATCTCAACAAACAAAATCCAATAACCCTTTATTCATCTCTTTAATAAAATTTATTTATTTTCATCACAAATACTATAATAAATCCAATTGATTCAAATTTCAAACATAGTCGGAATAACTTTACATTAAACTAACTAATGAAATAGTAATTTGCTTTGTCAACTAAATAAAGTTTCAAGTTAAAGAAGGCATGCAGGGCCACAATGAATTGGTTATGAAAAAATGTAGAAGGAAATGAACCTGTGGGTCCTTGGCAGCGAAATGAACGGGGGAAGCAGTATGAAAGACACCATCACAGCCCTCAACAACAGAGTCAAAGGAACCTTCTTGAAGGAGATCTGCCTTAAAGAGGTGTAGCCTCTCCTTAGCACCATCAAGTTTAAGAAGGTGATCAACCTTTTCGGGATTACCTGCATCATATTTATTAATAATGAAACCAAATAAGTGAAAAGACAAGAATTTATTAGTCTAACGAAGCGAAAAAGGCACTGACTTGGGTCGCGAACAGTGGCCCTGACAGTGTAACCACGCTGGAGAAGGAATTTAACGATCCATGAAGCAATATAACCAGAAGCACCAGTCACGCACACCACTTTTCCTGAGTTGCTGCTCATCCTCTTTAAACTCTTTAATAAAATTAATACCCTGCTTTCTTGTTTTCTTTAATTAACTCCTAAGTCCTAATATTTGAGCAGTGGAATTTGTTGTTTTAGTTATGGTCAAGTGACGAGAGCATCAAAGGAGAGAGGCTATTGCTGTCACATCATTGCTTGCAACTTGGGTCGTAGTAAACTTGGTTACGACACTCAGGCTTTGTTTGGATTGGAAAAGGGGAAGTGAGTGGAAAGTGAGTGGAAAGTGAGTGAAAAGTGAGGTTGTTTCGATTAAGGAAAAGTGAGTAAAAAGTGTAGAGAAAGTTTGTGAGTGAATTGATTGATGTCATAGATAAAAAAATTTTTAATTGATAATTTTGTAAGATTACTATTTTACCCTTAAGTTAAAAAAAAAAGTTTATAATTATTATAAAAAAAGATAAATATAAAAATTTTAACTAAAAAAATAAATATAAAATATTAATTTAAAAATAATTTAATTTAAATATTTGCTTTAAATTTAATGATAGATAAAAATTAAAAATTTAATAGATGAATATGTAATTTACACTTTTACCCTTAGATTAAAAATGAGTAGAACATTATTTATTGTAAATAATAATAATTACAATAAAATTATATTAATAGGTATAATTTATTAAAAAAATAATAAATAATGATAATAATAATAATAAATATTAGAAAAATAATAAGAATCATAATAAATAATAATGATACTAATTATAATAAATAATAATAATATTAATAATAATGATAATAATAATAATATTTATAATAATAAATAATAATAACAAAATATATTATGATAATTATATTTTCTAACATTATTTTATTAATGTTTATGAAAGTGTTATTATTTTAATTTTATAAACATGTATTACTTTATTTTTTTTATATTTCCACTTTTTGATGTCAATATTTAAATTATAGAATTTTCTTAATATAAAAAGAATGTACAATATAATTTTTGAAAGTTAATTAATAAATTAAAAAAATTGATAAATCATTGACATAAATTAGAATGAAATGAAGATATATTTGTTAATTGTACAAGTTAATTTTTACCAATTAAAAAATTAAGAAAATTTTAACATTGCAAGTTTGGGGTTGCATTTTTATCCATAATAGCCAATTTGGAACGGCCCGTTCTCAACTAGGGTTTTTAAGCCAATTTACTAGTTTAGAATGGCTCTTTCCAGTTTGGGAACGGTCCGTTCAAGATTACTAAATTACCCATGTTTGAGTAGTTTGGAACGGGTCGTTCCAATTTTGGAACGGCCCGTTCTGGGCACGCCTGGAAGCGAAAATATGGCAACATAATCGATTATGTATGGCACATAATCGATTATGGGTTGGCATAATCGATTACGCTGAGGCATAATCGATTATGTCAGCCCATAATTGATTATGTGCCATGCATGGGCTGGCATAATTGATTATGCTGAGACATAGTCAACTATACCAGCCCATAATCGATTATGTGCCATGCATAATCGATTATGCTGGCATATTTACGTTTTAGTTTTTCACCTCTTTTCAGCTTTTGGGCAGGGTATTATCGGGTTTTCTCAAATCTTACGTGATTTTCATCTCTTTTCTTCGCAAAAGCGCGAGGACGGCAACGAGGCTTCTCCCGCTTTTCTTCGCCTTTCTTTTCTCGCAAATCAGCAGAAACAAACGGCCACTTTCTTCGCCTTTCATTCCTCGTGAACAATAAATCAGCGAAAACAAACACTACCTCAGTTATAATATAATATAGTATAACTCTTCAGAGAAAACATCCACGATCTATTCTATTTCTTCCATTAATTTCTAACTTACACGCACACCAAAGTAGACGATAACCAAGATTGCGGATTTTCTAATGATTTACGGTGTGTTTGGTTTATCGTGAAAAATTCTTAAACGGCCGTTGAACGTAAAAGTAACAAATTGTTACTTCTCATTTTTCTGCTTTGGAATGCGAGAATTTCTGTTTACGTCATTTTAAATAATAATTCAAACAAGCACTTAGTGTGCGTCTAGATGCACGTTGGGTAACACACGTTTTTTTTCTTCCAAAAAGTGATTCATCTTTATGCATATTTGGAATTCTTCATCTTTACATGATTTTATACATGAAAATCAATTTTGGCGAACACCGGTGAAGATTGCTTTTACGTTTTGAAGAAAATGATTTTGGTAAGTAGATGGTTGATTTTTCTCATTTATTCTTATGAAACTTCAATGTTCACTTTAAATCTCTTCACCTAATTCATAAATGTTATGATTCATTTCATCTAATTTGATTTGTTTCATAATTTTTGTTTGGGTTTAGGATTTTGCCCTACGAAAATTTCTCTCATCAATTTTTTTTTTCATCAGTTTAGCTTCTTTCCTCCTTGCATGTGTACATGTTGCCCTATTTTGAACCTGAAATTTTATTGGGTATTTATTTTCTACTTCAATGCTAACCAACAACCTCTCCAAGTTGTTACTTTTATTTAAGTTGCATTTGTTCTCTCCAATCTGCAAACTTCTTAGGCATTTTGATCAGTTAGTAATTAATTTGTTGCAGAAGGTGTTTCGTTTCATTGAAGCAATGTCAAGGTTGAGAAAGCATAGGTAACCATTAAATTGATTTCTTTTGATAGCTTTTGTGATGTTTTAATGATCTTTAGGTTTACCTTTCGGTGGCTTTTTTCTTCTTCTTTCATGGTCACGTGTGTTGCATCTGATGGATATGTGGCAGAGATTAAGATAAAAGATTTAATTGCTGGCATGGTATTCTATTTTAAGTTGAAGCTGCATGATAAAAGATCTGACTCTTTTCTCTAAGTTTCCTCTCTCCGAGAACTTAGCACCATCAATTCTTTTGCTGATTATGTAAGCATACTGGTAATGATTATGTTTGCCTTTTGTTGCACTTGTGCTGAGCTTTATGTTATGCTTGAGTTACTTGCATAGTGTATGTCTTTTTCTTTGTGTATTTTGTGGTAAAGAAAGGATTAGATTGTGAAGTAGTTCTTTAGTTCAACCAAATCTTTCATGTTTCAAGGTGGCTTGGCACTAGGGGTGGGCAAAATGAACTGAACTGAACTTATAAAAATTATACTGAACTTAAAAGTAATTCTCATGAATTGAACTAAATTGAATATTACTTCAGACAAACTGAACTGAACTATTCTTTTATGTCATTAAATTGAACTGAACTATACTATTTAACCTTGAACTGAACTGTAATTTAAATTGCACTAAACTGTTTGAATTGAACAATTTTGACTCATTGGTTTGTCAAGATAGGATACATTTGCCAACTTTACTTTATTTTCCATTTATTTAAATTTTTCAAAGGGAAAAAAATATAAAATTGATTCAAACAAATTCAATGAATTTTAAGCCTAAAAATAAGTCATCCAACATAGCTCAATTGATCTGTTAGGTTCGACAAAATTGATACAATTCTTTTCGAATCACTTTTTTTTTCCCAAAATTTTGGTCATTAAACTATCGAGCTAATTCATTAAGACAGAACATGTTAGACACATTTAATTTTTATCCTTTTATAAAAATAGTTCAATTTTTATAATTCAGTTCAGATTTTATACTTCAGTACAGTTCAACTTTCCAACAGTTCAGTTCAGTTCAATTTTTTTTAAACAGTTCAGTTCAGTTTTTTTTTACAAATAGTTCAGTTTTTTATAGTACAATTTAGTTCAGTTCACCACCAGTTCAATTCAGTTCAGATTTTTTTTGCTCACCCCTACTTGGCACATGACAACCAATAATTTTTTTTCCAAATGTTACAATTCTTTTTATTTTGTCAATCTCAATTGTTAAGTTATATATATTATGACTTTATAAAATATTGAGACATGGCAGTTCTTGTTAATTTATCTTTATTTTGTTATGCAAAACTTATGAAATTTAGCATACCTCATCTTAAAATAGATACATTGAATAGAAAGGAGTCAACATGTAAGTCTATTCTTTGACTATTTTCTGGTTAAGCTTATAAAGTTGGGTCTGTCTTTTGAAGCATGTTCTCTGATTACTGAAAATTAGGGTGTTAATGAATCTAGTTATTCCACTTTGTGGCTTTCACCTTTAATTAAGGGGTTGTTTTGGCTTGCTCGTGATTTTTTAAATATAGTCTCTCTCACTCTCTCTCTTTGACAGTTTGAAAGAGGTCTCTGGTATAAGTTTTGTATTATTTGCTAAGTTATATTTTGTTAAACCTTTTAATGTAGAAGTATGGGTTTTGAGAAAGAAAAAGTTTGTTGGGATCTTAAAGCAACTGAATGCTTTATCATAACATGCTTGGAACAAGTGACTAATGGTGAACGATTGGGTACTAGTTTTACTAAGAAAGGATAGATTGAAATTGCAACCAAATTTAAGGAGTTAACAGGAAAGGTTTATGAAAAAAAAATAAAGTTTAAAAATAGGTTTGAGAATTTAAGAAGGGAGTGGAGGTTATGATATAAATTATTTCGTAAAGAAACTAGGCTTGGATGGGACAATGTGAAGAATACTGTTAATGCAAATGATGAATGGTGGGAGAGAAAGCAATTGGTATGTGTTATTGTAATTGATTTCATATATATATATAAGAATTGTAAATTTTTACTTTAATGTATTTATCTTATTATAAATTGTGAATGTGCAAAAAAATCTTCTATACGAAAAATTTAGAAACAAGGGACTTCCATTTGCTCACAATTTAACTATACTTTTTAAAAATGTATAGTTGCTAATGGAGAGTACGAATGGAGTCCCTAATCTGGAGTGTTGTCTCCTAATCTTGGAATTGATATGAATGATGTGTATCATTCAAGTCTAGAGGAAATTTGTTTAGACGTAGAGGAAGGCTCAGGTGATAGTGAAGATGCAAGTGTTGGTGCTACAAATACTTTAGGAGAGATTAATTTAAATGAATTACAAGAAACAATTAGTTGAGAGATTGGTAGCCAAAAGAGTGGAGAAAAGATAAAAAAGAAGCAATCACATTAAAAAAATTTAGTTAAAAGAAGACAATTACTTGTATAAGAGAAAAAGAAGCAATCGTAAAAATTTTAAATCTATTTCATAATCTATAATCAATAATATTACTGTTATATAAAAATTGTCTATGTATAATCACATGCCACCTTGTAGTGAACTGGAAACTATTCCCCCCCTCCCCCCAGTCTCTCCCTTTTTATCTTTGTGCATTTGTTAATGTCTAGAAAAATATTAAATCTCATTAAATTGATGTAAGGACTAAAAATTGCATGAGCTCCTAAACAAATCTAATTTCACTCCTGTTCCATAAAAGAAAATGTATGGTTAAATATCAATTTCTCCTTGGTTGTAACTGTTGGGAAACATTTAGGCTTTGTTTAGTAAAAGAGAAATATGTAAGAAGTAAGATAGAGAAAATAGAAACAAGATTGGTTATTAAATTGAGAAAAAATAAAAAGGTGAAAAATTAAAAGATGATAGACCTTACTTTCTTATTTATTTATTTCTCTCTCATCTCTCTTATAAATATCTTATTTTTTATATATTTCTCTTCAACCAAATAATCAAATTTTTACTTTATTTTTTACCTATTTTCACTCAAATTTTATTTCTTTTCATCATATTTCTTACTTATCTATTTCCTCTCTATCAAACACAAGCTTAGTGTATCAACTAGATTATGTTGCCTCCTAAGATTAGCAAAACATGAATAGAGTAATTTCATAGACGTATGCTCTGACGTGTCTTGTGAATTGGATTCTTAAACAAATTCATCTTCGTGACAGGTCGATTTAACAAATTAAAGTTGGAATTTAATTTTAATATAATACTAGCATATAAAGAAATATTTATTTTGAAGGAAGTTCATGGTAGCATTTGCAAATAATCCTTTCTTGTGAGTGATTGAACCCCTGGCACCTTAGGATTGGTGCTGCTAGTGCTAGATTAATTTAAATAAACCATTAGGAAAGGGACCAATCGCTAAACGTGAAATTCAACCATTGACAGCAGTTACGACTAAGGAGGCTCATGGTTGACAATCACATAACCGAAGGAGCTAGTCAATTAGTTGTGAATCATGATCTTGAATCTAAATTTTCCAAATTTAATAAACTTTGCAATATTAAGAAAGTAGTTACTCAAAATTAATAAACTCAAAATCACCAACACAGCCATAAGATACACATATAATAAACTAAAATCTTAATTTGATCTCTTATAATATTTTAAAATTTTAATAAACTCACCAACATGATTCTCATAACTACCATTGTTAGAATTTTTAATAAGTAAGACTAAATTTAAACCTAAAATTAAATTGAAACTAAATTAAAACTTTAAAATATTATAATTAATCAAATTAGAATTTTAGCATACATAATAATATACATTGGTTTAACTCAACAGAACAGAACAGGATATATCACAATCACATACATGCATACACACGAAGTAAGATTAAGGAGTAAGAGAAGAAATGCGATGGATTAAAGGGGGACAGAGTTTGAGAATTGAGACCGGTTCAGTCGGTGGCGTCAATAGGAATGAGCCTGACATTCGTAGTGGGAGGTTGTTGGGGAAACTTGGGAACAGTGACAAGAAGAGCCCCGTGATTGATGTCGGCTTTGAGTTGTTCGAGGTTAGCGTTGTCGGGAATCTTAAACCGGGTGAGGAAGTTTCCGCTCTCCACGCTCACTTGAAGCATCCTCTCGTCCTGGAGCTCCAGCAGCACCTCCTCATTGCTGAACCTCGGAAGCACCACCTGCCACACGTGCGCTCTCGGTGTCTCCCTCCAATCCACACGTGTGTTCATCGATGACCCGAATCCCAAGGCAGAAATGGAAGGAGGGAAAGGGAAATCCGCGAATGGATCCCACATAGACATAGCCAAGCCATTCAGATCCCAAAACTCGTGAGAGGAATTGGAACCGTCCCTAGGAACAATTGACATCTTTCACTACCAACCGTATTTCTACAACCACAACTAGAAGGAGCTACTTAATGCCTTTACCTTTCTGAATCTTCTGGAAAGTCAGAGTACTCTTTTTTTTTCTTCCTATCTTGGGCTACAACTGGTACATTTAATGTTGTTGGATCAGGCCTAAATAGAATTGGGCTAACTAAATAAGTATCCAAGTTTGGAAGCTTGTGATAAACACACCTCCATTTTTATATAAATATACTTTTTTTTATAAATATATTAAATTTTTAAACTATTTTTAATATTTTTTAGAATTTATAATTTTTATATTTATATCTCTCTTGTTCTTTCTTTTTCTCGTATTTCCCTTATTCTTTTTTTTCTTGCACCTCCCTTCATCTTTCTTTTCTTCTCTTTTTTATTACTTTCTTCTCCGACTTCTCTACTTTCTCTTTTACCCTTTTTAGTTTTTGTAATTAAAAAATAATATATAAGCAGGTTTGTAGATATGATCGAAAAAGGGAAATATATAATAAGAAGTTTTTTTTTTCGGAAAGTATTTTCTAGAAAAGTAAAATTTTTGTTCCGAAAAGTACTTTCCGTAATAATAAAGTTTTTGTTCCAGAAAATACTTTCTATAATAATAAATTCTTATTCCGGAAAGTATTTTCTGGAAATGTTTTGTTACATAATTCCGAAAAGTACTTTCCATAATACTAAACTTATTGTTCCGGAAAGTTCTTTATATATAATTATATAAGAAACAAACTTCTAAAAAATAAGTTCTGGAATAATAATTTTACTATTCCGGAAAGTACTTTCCGGCATGCTAAAATTAACATTTCAAATCTTATTTTTTGAAAGTATGACAAATTTAACTTACATGTTTCTTTATCTCCGTCATCCACCACTATCGTCTATGATCGAAGAAGTCTATTGTCCATAAGTAATGTTAAATAAGTTAAAAAAATTATAAATATAGAATGTAATTTAATATATTATTTTATACCTTGTATTGAATGCAGAGAATAATGAAGATTGAATAAAAAATTATGATTTAAGAAAGAATAGGGTAGAAAGTGAAAAATAAAATTTAAAAAATAGAAAGATAAAATATGATTATGTTGATTGTAAAAAAAGAAAAATCAAGGATGAAAAACGAAAAAGAATAAAATCATCAAAAAATGACTAAAGTGATGAAAAATGAGAATAAGAAAAAGAAGAAAAAGAAAGAAGAAGAAGAATGATGAAAGAAATGAATAAATAAAAAACAATTTTAAAAATAAAAATTTAATTAGAAAAATATTTTAAGAATTTTATTTATAAAAAAAAGTAAAATTAGAGATATATTTATAAAAGATAGGAGGTGTATATATCATCAACATGTTTGGAATCATTCAATGGGCTACCGGATCCACATAACCCGACACAACACACACACAACTATAGGACAGTCTTCCGCTCCATTTGTAATTTAGATGCTCTTTTTTTTTTTTACCAAGGTTCATATTTTATGATATGTATTTTCAATCACTTTACACATAAATAAAGGTTTTTTTATTGATAAAATTAGATGAGGGTAATTCTAAAAGATTTACCAAATTTGGATTCATTAGTTAGCGTCTTCTATATTTTGTTTTTAAATAACTATAATTCTATGAATTACAGGTAAAATAATATTTTTTATCTTTTATTTACTAATAACTGCAAAAATAAAATCACGGTATTTTTCATTCATATGTTATGTTTATTCTTTCCCCTCCCATTGGTACATGCTTTTGATAATGCAATTTAAAATTTCGTTTCTATATTTAATTTGGTTTTTATCATGTTTCTCTCTAATCAAGTTATTAGATAAGAACATTTAATCATTTTAAGGAATGTACATAATTATTTAAGAAACCATTTGCCTATTACCTATTTTTTAATTTTCATCACTATATTTGATTATTTGATCAAATTTTGTTGTTCATACATTGATAGATGATAATTCAATTAGATTCTCTTACACTTGTTTTAGGTTATAAAAAAACATACTTATCATTTCTTTTTTAAGAGATAAAATTTAGAGAATAAGGTAGGCACTCACTAAGGTCACAAAAGACCTCAAAACTAAAAAAGAAAAATACACTTAAAAAAATTGTTGGTGGATAATTTGTAAACACATATATAAGTGTTTTTTTTTTTAATTTGAGACATGTCTTATGTCCTAGTATGTTAAAAAATTTCACATTACTCAAAAGTCAAGATCAAAATAAATTATAAATATCTTTCTTCTTTTATCCGCCAAAAACATATTTTTAAAAATAAAAATATGATGATTTAATGAGTATTAAAGAGAATGACATTTTAATCAAATGTGGTAATCTCAACTACAATGATAAGTATGTTTCTTTATTACCTAAAACGAATATTAGAAAATGCAAGTGAATTGATATGCAAATAAATTGTTGTTAGTTTAATAATATTGATTGTTTATTTCTCCATCAGCCCCTGCTTACTTTCCATTGTCCCGATGATATATTTCCATTTAAACTCTCTTCCTTGCACTCTTTCTATGAGTAGGTAGGAGGGGATTATAAGCAAGCATGCATGATATAGGAATAGGAGCCTTCTTGTTACATCACAGCCTTTCTTCATTTTCTTTTTCACATTTCCTCTCTCCTTCCCTTTCAATGACAAAGACTCCCAATTACACCACAGACCAAGAGATCATTAGTATTTATTACACATGCGTCTGTACTTTTCTTTCCACACTCTCATTGGGGATCACAAAATTTGCCATGTTTTCCACCCTATTTTCTGTTAATAAAAAAGTGTACACATTCTAATAGAAATGTTCACCACCATGTCTGAACCAGGTTATCTTTTAAACAAAAAACATGTACCTGCAAAACAAATTGAAAAAAAAAATGCCCTATATGGTGCTAAGTGAATAACTATCATGCGGATTAAAAAAAATGTTGTATGTAAATGTATTAGTTGTTTAGATTTTATATAACTTTATATAAAATAATTTATCAATACAATAACATAAAATCCACATAATAAATAACGTATCTTTTATGATCCTAGTATTATTATTTTTTATCATGGCCAACATGTGGGTTTGGGTTGGATAAAAAAAATGGAGAACCCTTTTTCCTAGACTCATCCGAAAGCAGAATTTTGTTGAGGCATGTTGGAGATTTCCGTGGCAAATCCGATAGTGTCTGTGCTGAAATCTTGGGAATTTTTTTTTTTTTATATATATATCTCTCCATCATGCAATGCAAGGAAAGCCCTTGTTACTTGTCATAAGGTTTTGGCATAATCTATTAGAGAGAAGAGTAAAAAAATGTGTGTTGTGTTGTAAGGCAAATAGGAATAGGGCCAGGTGGGACAGTACTTGAGGATATGGTGAGGAAGTGAGAGCTGGAAAGGGTGATTAAGAAAAAAGGCTTTAATTGGAGATTGATTTTCCTTAAACATGTAGGGCGTGTCTCCCCAAGGAGGTCCATTATTAGTGGGAATGTGAGTGTTAAAAGAAAATCAGGGACCCTTCCCTTCGTGTCAAGTGTCCATCCACTTATCAAACAATTCTGAGAATTATAGCTGGATCGGGTTGTCATGTCATGTCCACTGCGAATCTCCACAGTGCATGCCATTTCCAGATTATAATTAAAAGCACCATTGTTTTTCTTGAGTAATTACTAATTATATAATATTTGGCAAACTTAACACTCTGGTTGGTTGATACCAAATGTAAAAATAGACAAGAGGATAAGAAATAAGAGGGGAGAAATATGTTTACACATTTGGTAGAGGTGAGTTTTATGAGATGAGAAATTACTGACATGAACTCGTGTATTTTTTATTTTTTGGCAATAGTGCCAGGAAATCGGATCGAAATTGAGGAGAAAAGGTTCTCCTCATTATTATCTCGTAAGTCTTTTTTTGGTGTGTAAGGATTAATTTAAAAAAAATTACTTGGATTCTAAAATGACAGGCTTGTAAATTTTAAGAGATCATAATCAATTAAAATATTTGTTTAATTGTTTATAGTCGTCAATTTAATATGCACGAAGGGTAAAGTATTTGAATGATGAGGTATGGTATTTGATTGTGTACATGTTGTATTTGAATATGTATGTTTTGTATTCGATTGTGTATGTGTTTCACTCGAATGCTTATATTTTGTATTTGAATACAGTTTTCACTGTAATCGATTACAATAAAAATTCATTTGATTGCAAAAATATGTTGTAATTTAGCAAAATTTCATTCATTACAAAATATATTGTAATGGATTACGGGTGACATGCATTGGATACAAGGCAACTAATAACCCCCGTAGATAGTAGGTAGTTAATTTTGAAAGGGTAAAATAATTTTTTTTTCTTCAATTATTATCTCTTATTTCTTCTTCATTCATTCAAATCAACACAAGTATATAATATTATTTCTTACCTATTTTTTTAAATAAATAAAGTAATTTTCATTATATTTCTCACATATTTTTACTCACTTTTTCCTCTCCTCATAACCAAACAACAGTGTAAGAGTTAGATAGAGAAAAATGTTGGAAGTTGTGTATTGTTATTATCATTTCAACTAATAAAAAAAAATAGATGATGAGAATGCAAGTAATTATTTTTTATTATTTTTTTTCTCACAATTTTATTAGTGTAAATATCTACTAACTTTATTTATTATTAATCTCGGATAAATTGTGTTTAAACTTTGATAAGTCTTTACTTAAATGATTCACACCTAATCTTACTTGGACAAATAAATTGTTACTTTTGTATTATTGTTTACTAATGAGAATTAAAGAGTCACTTTGTGTCTATACTTATTTTGATTAAAATTAAAATATTAATATAAACAATAAAAATTAAATAATAATGAGCGGCTTGCTTTTGAAGGATGTAAGTAATTCGAAGTAGTCATAGAGGTAAAATAAGAAAATTTGTGCACACCAAAATCATGTTTTCTTTTCTATTAAATAAGGATGTATTACGACAATATGTTATCTTAACACAAGTGTCTAATAGATAAAATATTTCATATAAGATACATTTATTATGAATTAATGTCATTTGTGATGTCTAATAACTAAATTGATCTTTGTGCATATTATTCTTTAACAAATCAAAGCAAAATAACTTTATCGGTACCTATAATGATAAAGAAAAAAAAAATACTTCTTGTAAAAAAACATGAATCACAAAAATCCTAAAAAAAAAGTTGTTTTGAAATGACACATGCATGACACTACTTGTTTGGTACTTAAACAATGATAAATAGTTTATTTGATTAAATAAGAAGTAATAATTTGGTGAATCGTATTTAATGCAAGAAATTAATGCACTAACAAACAATTCTCTTCATAAAGAATGAAAAATCAAAGACAAATAAAACATGTTTGTGAGTAAGGATGGCAATGGGGCCCTATGGGGCGGGTAATAGTAAACCCACCCCCGTCCCGCTGAATGAAAATTAGCCTCGTACCCACCTCATATCTGCGCGGGTATCCATTAAGCAGGTATCAATGAATTTTTTGAATACTCACGAATATTCATGGATATTTATAAATTTTTTAAGAAATTAAAAAAATTTATATTGCAAATAATTTTAAGTTTATTTTTAATGTCATTGAAATATTAAAAATAAAAATTCAATGTTAATTTTGAACTTGTATTTGACGTTAATTTTGTTGAAATAATAATAAAAATGTAACATAATCAATAACTTAAAATACATCAATCTCACAAATAAGTTAATGTCTCATCACAAAACTACAATAATTCAATTTCATAATTCCAAACGAAAGTAAACAACTTAAAATACATAAATTTTATTGGTCCAATCAAAGCTAAAAAATTAATCAAATTACATCCAACATAATTCTGTAACATGCTTAACACATGTTGGTAACTTCATCAACCACACTTTTGTAAGAAAATAATATGAGAGAGTGTAGTTTTAGAGTTATGTGATACAAGGATAATTAGGATATTTAAGAAATATTATTAAACGGGTACCTGCGGGTATGGATATCATCATACCCGCTCCCGCCCCATTTATAAACGGGTAAAAAATTATCCGTCTCCATTATTCGCGGGTACCCAATTAGCCTATCCATTTATTATTCGTAGCAGATTTTACCCATAGATACCGGCGGGTGCGGGTATTTTTGTCATTCCTACTTATGAGAGACGCTTAAGGATTATTAATGGTTATCTTTAGTAATAATTTATTTAATTTTAATTTTGTGTTATTGCTTTGAGTTTGGAGATGCTAGTTGGTTAAATAATACTCATGTATTTTTGAACTTGAAGAGACTTGACAGTAATAAAACACTTGGGTATTTAAAGTTTGAAAAGGCTTTGTGGCAAAACATTACCTGAATATTGGTTTAAAGAATCAAGTCAACAAATATTTAGTTTGAGTCAGAAGTAAATTGTAAAAGAATATTTGTATCTTTGCAAAAAGTAGTAAAATTTGATTGAGTTTGATCAAGAACTAAATATGGTCTCGGTAGTTGAGACAAACTTGTATAAAATACTTTGTACTATTTTGATTAACTCTTCCACTACACTCTTACCGCGTTCCATATTACTTCACTAATTAAAAAAATGTGATTTTTTTTATAAATACTATTAAACCCTCCTTCTAGTGTTTTTATTTATTCCATAATAAATATCAAAATAAGTAGTACAACTTAAATGTCATGCAGTAAAGGGAGAATATTTTAGAAAAATATCATCAAATGAAGCAAAAGTAGTTGAAATTTATTTATATTAATTTTTTTTATAATAGAGAATAGAGGGAGTAAATTATGATTTTGTTTTATAAAGCCAATAAAATTAATCAGCATAACTACTTATATTGACACGTGCAATTTGGTTAAAATGACTTATAATAAGGATTAAAGGGAGTAAAATTTATTCTTTGACATTAAAATAATATAAGACTATATATATTGAACTTTTAATTGCTTTATTTTGTCAATATACAATTTTGATCATTCTATCTTAAGATAAAAATATTTGCTTATTTTTAAAAATACAAATTTTAATTTTATTGTTAATTTGATATTTGTTGATCGTTAAATTTTGATGTTATTTAGTGACATGTTACCACTTAAGGGACAAAATATTTAGTGAAATGATATATAAGAAAAAAGATAAAATAAATAAAAAAAATTGTTTATATAAATTTTAACGAGTGATTAATATCTTTTTATTAATAAATTTTATTTGTAATTTTTTTAAAAAATTTAACTGCAAATGCCTTATTATTAAATATAACATTATTTAAGTATGAATAAACGTTAAAACATGATTATTTATATATGTCAATTTGATTGGAGAATCAAAATTTTATATTTTTAAAATTAAAATAATTAAATGTATCTATTTAAAAAATAGAATAATTAAAATTACAAACCTATAAAATAGAGACTTAAAAATATAATTTAATTATAATATAATTAATAAAAAAATAATATCAAACGGTCAATATATATATATGAAGCGGGACACAGCACGGTAAAGGGACTTAAATTACTTGTTTGTTTCTATATTTTTTTTCCCTCCACGTTTCTATAAACCAAAGAATTACATATTAACAAAAGTTAATACTAGGTAATTTTGAAAGAGAATGTTGTTTTTTTAATAACTTTTTTCTTTGACCAAATAACGAATCATTTCTTAAATACGAAAATCTTGGAAAAAGATAAAAATGGTTAGGTAATCTCAATACTTGCCAATTATTGTCTTGGTGTATCATGTCACGTGTATTGGATTCTCGGTGAGTTAAAACAAGAAACCTAACAAACGCTTGATTTGTTAAATAATTAATATAAGGATTATACATATTTTTGACAACTATTAAAAAATACATAATTTTGAAACTTTAACTAAATTAAAAAATTTACAATTTATTACGCATAGTAAGATCATATTTGAGAAAAATTAATTCCCACCATTTTCCAGCTGGGTTTTAGAAGAAGCAAAAACTATTTATACAAAAAAGTTGTATGTTTAAGACAACAGATAAAATTTATAATTTTTTTAAAACAAATTATTTTCATACATCTTAAAATTTGGAACTTATGATTAATTTTTAACAATTTTTCCTATTAAAGCCGATTTATTAAGTAAAAATTAACTTTGTTGTTTATACAAACAAAATTAAATATTTCAAAAATATTTTATTCATAAAATTACCTAAATAAAAAATTCATTTTGATTATCATCAATTGTAATAATAATTAATTACATATATAATTGATTATTTAAATAATTTAATTTTTATAATTGTTTTAAGCACATTTTATATTTATTAACTTTAATAAACATAGAATGTAGAGAACCATGAAAAAGTGACACTCTGAAAAAGATAAGAAAAAAAAATGAAAGATAACTAATCGATATAATTACCAATATAATATGACAAGAAGAGAGAAATAAAAAGAAATAAAAAGTGTCATCAAAGTATTAGTAAATCTAATTTTAGTAATTAATTGAGAGCTAAATTCTTTCGAGTTTTCCACGCATACTATTATTTAAAATATTTTATTTTGCTGTAACACAAGTTTTAATCTAAAATTCATTACTAAAATTAGACTGTGTTTTAGAAGAAGGAAGTTTAGTATCGCATTGATAACATAATTATAAAAAAAAGGTTTAGTAATTTACAAGGTTGTTTGATGAAATTATTCTTTAAACATAATTTTTTTCTATAAATCTTTGAAAGAAATAAGTTGTCCGAAACATGTTCTTAATATAAACATACATTTTAATTACATTCAACAATTTAAAATTTATTGTATCTTTATATGTTTGGTAAAAAAAATTATAAGTATTTTCTAAGAGAGGTAATTGTATTTAAGTTTAATAAAATTATCTAAATATTAGGTCAATTTGTTTAAAATTAAAAAATAATTTTTTAAAAGTGAATTTTTAAGATAGAAGTTATATCTTAAAAAAAATATTTTTAATAAAATAATTTATTTTGAACTTTTTTTTTACAAATTTGACTATAGTTAAAAAAACCTTAAACAAGCATTTCATATCATTTAATGCAGTTATATACTTAATATGAGATTATTGATTAATAAAAATTGGAAGAATATGAGATGATGATGTAAGCGCTTATCGATAGTTGTATTCATTCACTATTTCCATCTAAAACCAAAAGAACCTTAAAATGTTTATTTGATTTGATAACTAACCTTAAATGTCACAATAATTAAAAAGGGGAAAGCAAAGGAAGTGCATAGCATAGGTGAGAAGAAAGGAGGAATGATGAAGAGAAGAGGTGACTGATATCATTCACTCACTGCAGCAGAGAGAGCAAAGAGCAAAGAAAAAAAGAAAACCTTTGGATCCCAAAAAAGCCATCTTTTTTCCCACCCCACTTTCTCTCTTCCCAAACACCGCCGTATTTCGCTTTCTTTTATCCCTTCCATGCCACACTTCTCTTCAATTCTTCTTTTTTAATCTTATCTTTCTTCTTCTCTCCACCCTTTCACCACTGTTGGAGAGAAAAGGGTCTCATTCACACTCACCAATGGGAGTTCGTTGCTCTAAATTCTCTCTCTGCTGGTGGCCTTCCCACATCAAATCAAACCTTCATGACTTGTCTGATAATGGTGAGTTGGTGACCTTCTTCTTCCCACTTCTCTGGGAACACAAACCAACAATAAAAATGTAATTTTTAATTTGAATGTTAACTTCATTTGTGTTTTTGATTTGTGGGTGCAGATGATGATGGGAAGAGGAATGAGAAGGATCCTTGGGGAGGGTTCAGTGAGTACAGTTTGGATCAGCTGAGAGTTGCCACCTCAGGATTTTCACCGGACAACATTGTCTCAGAGCATGGAGAGAAGGCTCCAAATGTTGTCTACAGAGGGATGCTTGAAGATGATAGGGTGGTTGCTGTGAAGCGCTTCAACAAGTCTGCTTGGCCTGATTCTCGACAATTCCTAGTTCGTGCTCTTCTGCTCTTGCTTTTGCTTTTGTGTTTTCTTGCATGTATGTGGAAATTTATGTTCGATTTTGGCGTCTGGTTTGGTTCGACTTTTTTTAGGAGGAGGCACGTGCAGTGGGGCAGCTAAGGAATGAGCGTTTAGCTAACTTGGTTGGATGTTGCTGTGAGGGGGAGGAGAGATTGCTTGTGGCAGAGTTCATGCCTAATGAAACACTCTCCAAACATCTTTTTCACTGTGAGTTTTAGTTTTCTTCAGAAATCAACAGGAGAGAAGATCTGATTTTGATGTCATTTTGTTAAACTCCTATTGTGATTTGAATGATATGCTTTAGAAGCTACATCAAGGGTCAAATTTTAGTGATTTACTCTCTCAATTTTGTCCCCATGTTTGTTGATGTAGTGTGTGAAATATTGTTTCCGTTTGTGCCCCTGATTTTGTGATTGGAAACTGCTCTGGCAGGGGAAAGCGAGCCTATGAAATGGGCAATGAGGCTGAGGGTGGCCTTGTATTTAGCTCAAGCTTTGGAATACTGCAGCAGTAAGGGAAGGGCATTGTACCATGATCTTAATGCTTATAGAATTTTGTTTGACCAGGTACTTCATCTCTTAACCAGTTTTGTGCTTCTTTTATTATGTTTTGATTTTGTGCCTCCTCCATTATGTTTTGTCAACTTACACGGTACCAATGGTGGAAAACAGGAAGGCAACCCTAGACTCTCTTGTTTTGGACTCATGAAAAACAGTAGGGATGGCAGAAGCTACAGTACGAATTTAGCCTTCACTCCTCCAGAGTACTTGAGGACAGGTAATAATATAGCCTTTTTTTATTATTGTTTTACTTGGGGCTAAAGGGTTTTGTATTGTTAATAAGCCTTCTGATTATTAATTCCCTGAGTGAGCTCACATGTGTTCAAAATTTGCCAGGAAGGATCACTGCTGAAAGTGTAGTTTACAGTTTTGGCACCCTATTGCTTGATCTTCTGAGTGGAAAGCATATCCCTCCCAGTCATGTACACACCCTCTTTTCCCATTTCTTGTCTTCATTTTAATTTAAGTTGGCATTGTGTTCAGTAAATCAGACCTGTACAATGTCAGCACTTCATGATTGAATTTTACTAGATTTGCTGAACATCCTATGATGGTTTGGCTTAAAACGGTCATAGCATATATAAATTCATAAATGAATAGGTAAAGTAATCCCTTTACTTGCAGGCACTTGACCTTATACGAGGTAAAAATTTTCTGATGCTGATGGACTCATGTTTGGAAGGTCATTTTTCAAATGATGATGGAACTGAGTTAGTGAGATTAGCTTCGCGATGTTTACAATATGAACCTCGTGAGAGACCAAATGTTAAGTCGCTTGTGACTGCTCTATCCTCTCTTCAGAAAGAAACTTCGGTATGCTCTTCTTTTTCTCTCTTTGATTTTTGTCTCGAGTTCTTTTATTACAAGTCAATCATTGATCAAAGTTTACTTGGTTGATATGTGTATATTAGTGAAGCCAGTTGGAAGCATAGAAATGTACTTGGTTTAAAGCTTGTGGTATTTTGCAGATACCGTCAAATGTTTTAATGGGCATACCAGATAGGAGTCTGTCATCAAAGGAAACAGTTTCATTGACACCTTTCGGTGATGCTTGTTCAAGAAGAGATCTGACTGCAATACATGAAATTTTGGAAAAGGTGGCATACAAGGATGATGAAGATGTTGCAAATGAGGTAATTCATTATTTCTATTTCGTCCTCAGTTGGACTTTTATTCTGATAATGCTGGTGTCTTCTTTCTTTAAGTCTCTTCCAATTGGCTCAGTTGCTTTGAGGTCAACGTTTAATGAACTTCCAGTTGCTTTTTCATTGTGTTGAAAAATGGTCACATGACACCGTCTGGATTTGGTCTATATATAGACAAGTGTGATCTTTTGCTAAAAAGACACTGGTGATAGCCCATAGATAGGTTACTGAAGACATGGTGTTGTAAATCTTTCCTATCCATGACATTTTACCTTTTTGTGTGTCTTCATTCTAGTGAATACCATCTTGGTTTTGGTTTTGGTTTTCCAATGCCATTATGGGAAAAAATATGTAGTATGGCAAAAAAATGCGTTCTTTGCTAATTTCTTTTTAGTTCTTAGCAGAGGTGGACCTTCCTTACAAATGATATTAATGGATTTGTGTCCTTTCATTGTGTCGCAGCTGTCCTTCCAAATGTGGACAAATCAAATACAAGAAACTCTAAATTCTAAGAAGCAAGGCGATTCTGCTTTTCATGCTAGAGACTTCTCAAAGGCCATTGACTGCTATACACAGGTACGTCAGCTAGAACTAGGAATAGGCTATCCAGGATAAATTTGCAAAACAACATTCTAACATCAATTCTTTGTAACATCAGTGTCAATCTTTTGACACTGGAAATAAAATACTTCACTACTGTCAATTTGATGAAGTATTAGCCAGCATATCCACCAACGTTTGTCTTTACTACATTGAATATTTTGGCTAGAACAATCATACATGGGTTGGTAGAATAAAGGGATTATTACTTTGAATCATCCAAAAGCCTTTAGAATTTTAAGTTGGGGACAGTTTTAAATGGTACTATATATCTTGCAATTTGCAAAAAGAGGGAGATATGTCCATAATATACACTAACAAAGCCAGTTAAACCTTACCAATATCATAGATCATATGTTCCAGGCCATTACTCATGAAGACTGATCAGTGGCTAATGGATATCCGTGCTAGCTTTCTTTTGTTAGACAGAAGTTCACAATACTTCTTAACTTGTTTTGTGTAGTTTATCGACGGTGGAACCATGATATCACCAACCGTGTATGCCAGGCGCTGCTTATGCTACCTGATGAATGACATGGCACAAGAAGCACTTGGAGATGCCATGCAAGCTCAATCAATATCTCCCGCCTGGCCAACTGCATACTATCTTCAAGCAGCTGCTCTCTTCAACCTTGGCATGGACAATGATGCACAGGAAAGTCTTAAAGATGGCACAACACTCGAAACCAGGAAGTATAGAAATTGAAACTGTATAGTCTTTTTCCTTTCTTCTACTTCCCCACATTGATCAAGCAAATTTTTTATATATTGCTGTTAGCTGTATGTAATTTATATATGCTTTAGACTCCTAATTGCGATGGCTATGGCATCCTTGCATTCTCTCTTGTATTTTTGGTCCAATGCTGTGAATCTCAAATTGCTCAGATTCATGTAAAAGACGTCTTATTTCTTGTCAGCCATTCTCACCCACCTAAGTCGTATACTTTCTAAACAAATTCATGAACACAGTAAATTTCAGCATCCTTCATATCTTAAACCACTATACACTAGGCCAAATTTGTCAAGATAAAAAATATAAAATCATTAGACACTCGCCTCAACAATAATTTGTGATTAGAAAATTGAAGAATGAAATTAGCGAAAGGTAATTTCCTAGAGTTGACCGTAGACTAGCTCAACTTGACCATAGATATTAATCTCCTTTACTATACAAAAACAAAGACCTTGACCCTATATCAGCTCAGGCTTCCATCTCAAGTTTTTCTATCAACAGTGGTGGACATATATTTATCATTACTGTGACAATTAGGTGCACATAATAACCTTGCGCGTGTTCATACTCCCACAAAAAAACGTTCTTGGTAATTGTTAGCAACTAAGGTACTCAAATAAACATAATTTTTCCCCATTAAAACAACATAAGTTATGAAATTAAATTAGAAGAGGAGTTCTAAGAGCATCTGTAATGGGAGTTGCTTATAAGCAACTCCTATGTCACATCACTGCCAAATCAGCTCTGGCCCACTTTATAGGTTGTTTAAATTTTAGCAGAATTGCTTCTACAAGCAATTCTGCTAAAATTTAAGCAACCCATAAAGTGGGTCAGAGCTGAGTTGGCAGTGATGTGACACAAGGAGTTGCTTATAAGCAACTCCCATTGGAGATGCTCTAAGGAAATATCCAAGCAGTCAGAATAAAAAAGAAATATTCACTAAACAGTATGAAGTGTGACAAATCAATTATTACTTGGATTGGTTTGTGATGTTCCCTGGTTCAACGAAAGGTGTCTGTGACTCTGCCTGTGTCTGCTTGAGATACCCTAATAATTCACAGGTCAAAATGCAAATTCAGAAACAAAAATTGAAATAAGAAATCCATTACGAGGAGAAGATATTAAGTAAAGATTTTGAGTCAGACTTTGGCAGATGTAACAACAGGGCACAAATCTGTTGAAGGAAAATTATTCAATGTCAGAAGCAACTGACAAACACGAAAAAGCATGGGAAGGATACATAAACGTTCCATATTGACCAAGGTGGACCAATTTGAGCCCTAGGACCTTTTCGTTTCATTTTTAATGTTGTTGGATTAGAGAAAAAGGTAACACAAATGGTACCTGTAAATTGCAGATTTAAATCGTCAATCACAGATGTAAATTGTGGAATTAAGTCTTAACTATGTTCCTTGAATCTGGAAATTTTCTTTCTTTAGCGTCTCTACACCCTAAATTAGAGAAAAAGATAAATTAGATTTTTTCCTTTTTTTGTAAGCTGATTTTTTTATTTATCAGGTAGGCTGAGCTATTAATATATTTACAGGCCCATGTGATCCAAACCCAATTAGCCCGTTATTAGTAAGATCTAATTATGGAGGGTTTTGTTTGTTTGTTTGGTCAAAACACGAAGGTCTCATTTCTCTATTTCACCAGGTCCACCCAAACATTTTAGCTGTCAGTCTATTTAATTTTTAAATGTTATTTTTAATTTATTATGTGATTTTATTGATTGTGAAGATATTATGGTTTGACAATTGATAGACTTGTTAATTATTATTGAAGACTATTCTTATTTTGGTTTTTTTTGAAGGAGTATAATTATTTTATGTTGGTTGAAGTGATAACTATTAACTATTGTATTTGTGTTGGCGATTTTTTTTAAAATTTTTCAGTGAAGGAAATTTACTTCAATTTTCTTTTGGGTTAGGTTGCAACAACTCTATCATATATAATTTTCACCCCCTTAATTAAAAAGGTAGATCTTATGATTTTTGCTACCAGTGGTTGTAATATAAGCAAATCTTTAGGTGACAAAGAAAATACTCATGTGCTAATTCTTATTGACAATAGAACGAAAAGAAGAAAAAAAGAACTAGTTTTGAACCTTTTAAGTCCAACAATATGTACAAAATGTGTAAGATGTTTTTTATTCTAATAATCTGGTGGGCCAACACGGTGGCCTACTTCTAAGCAGGGCAGGCTAAGGGCTTCAGCCCATCGTAACCAAATTTTGTCAGGCAGGCCGAAACAGAACAGGCTGACTTGTTTTACTTCTCATATGAATTGAAACTTGTGTTACTTAATATTATATATTTTTTACACTTTTTTTATTTTATAATAACAATAGAGAAAAAGAGGCATTCAGCACCTCTTTATTTATTAAAAAAACAAAAATAAAATAAAACATGATTATATAGCGGGCAACTACTTGAAAAGTGTGATATTTACCGTGAAGAAAGAAAAAAAAAACTAAATAAAAATTTAAAAGAAAAAATATTTGGACAAAATAGTTCAAAAAATTGTATACGCTAAAATGAAAATATTTTATTTATTATTAGTATAGAAATATAGATATAACATATTTTATTACTTAATGTAATTTGACATTTTTTCCAATTCAATGGATTTAATTATTTTTAAGTAGACCTTATAATTAATATCATTCTTTTATATCAATATTGATTGATCCAAATAGTAACAATTTGTATCTTTTAACCAATCCTTTTGTGTTCTTCTAGTCTTTGGTCTTTGACAACACTTGATCATTGCTTTCGACACCATGCTTACCTAAAAAAAATCTTCATTCCTTTATATTTTAGGGTTTTTTAGTTTTAATTTAATATAATTTTTTAATCTCAATTGGTTAATAAATAAATGTAAAATAATTTTAGTTACAAAAGTTTTCACTTCAAAATTTGAAATGCAACGAAAAAGTCTGAAAAAAATATTAAAATATATACTATTTTTTAATTAAATAACTTTAGCAATACATGAAAAAAATAATATGTACAACATTTTAAATAATAAAAAAAAAGAACATGGAATATATGGATCAAAAAGAGAACATGGAATCTTTATTTCGTTTTCGTGTTGTCAGTTTTTCAAATTACTTTTTATGCAGAGTTACATGCATAGTCTCGATCCATTATTTCATTTATTTATTTTCTGTGTATGTCATAGCACAGTTGCAGATTTTTTTTTTCTGTACATATTCTGAAGCACAAGAATAGCATTTCAATCAATCCACCTGGTACAATGGATTAGATATTTGATCATGTTCATGGGGCCAAACAAATATCAAGCTTTGATGTGTAGATGCTGCTGTCACTTTCAGCTTCTAAGCAGCTCCCAAGCTCCTGATCCAGTTCCAATCCTGCATCAACGTAATTCATTTATTGGCTTGAATTTATCCAAGTTTCAAGAATTATTGGTTCCTCAACAATGATCAATTCGGAGGAAAAAAAAAAAAGAATAAAACCATTAGGAAACAATAGAGGGGAATAGATTATCACCTCAAAAAGCCAACAAATGCTCTAAGACCCATATAGATGGTCAAAGCAATCCAAATTCCTACGAAACCTCCAGCAGATGATAAAATAAGTAGACAAATTATGCTCACAATTGCCACCACAACCTGTCACAGTGCAGAAGATCATCATAATGTACAAAATCAATTAGTATCCTTCCTTTGCTTCATATTTGCTAGTTGCTACCAATATGTGTACGCATTTCTATTGCGTTTACTTTTGCTAATAATTTTAAAAAATAAACATGTTTATCTTACTAAAAACTGTGTATAGAGTGTCATTGAGGAAGCAATTTAGAAGCTTGGATATTGAGTATTTATCCTAGATCATTTATAATGAGTGGTGCAATATTGGTAGGAAGAGGCTATTGGGTTTACATAAAATATGCTGTGTATAATCTCTTATAGCATGAAAGAAAAATACCCACCAAAGAAATGGCTGAATAAGCAAAATCAGATGCCCCAAAGTTGATACCATCAAATACAAATGCCAAAGTGTTGAGGGGTTGAGTGGCTGCTACAAACTGATCAAAATCATTATGAATGCAAGTTCCACCGTTTTGGGAGTTTATAAGAAGGGGTAGTGATTTGAACATCAATAATTTACCGGAATCCCAATTCTGATGAGGTGAAGGACATTAACATCTTCTGTAAAAAGTTTAACTCCAAAATGCAATCCTGTTCCAAGAATGAATGCTAGAGCCAACCCCAGAACCAAACCTAGCTGCAGTTTAATTGTTTGTTACATTACAATTTACAACTAATCAATCTCTGGCGGAAAGATGGCGAGATCTTTTCACAGTGTAAAAAACCTGTATTACTCGTGATGCGGTTGCCTTGGCCTTTTCATAGTCCTTGTTGGCAAATGCACCTGCAAGAATTGCCTGAAACAAGCATGATGTTATCATACAAGTTATGAACAATTAGTAAAGATAATTTCTTTTATTCCTAAAGAGTGGCAGGTTCTCTAAATCAATCAATAGATTAAGTTAAACAAAACTTTGTCACACTGCAAAAACAATGTGCAAGGCTTTGATATAAAACCTGCATGAATTAAAACGGCAGGTGAATTACTGGACAATGAGCTGACATGATATCTAACCTGGCCAGCAACAGCCAGACCATCAGCAAGAAGGGACACTGCTAACCAAATCTGCAGGCAGACTTGAAATGCAGCCATGGATGTTGGTCCCTGACGCGCAGCTAATGATGCTGACAGTGTCACACAGAATGTTACAGCAATTACTCTTATTAGTAAAAGAAAGCCTGGATGACAAAAATGAAACAGGGAAGCACAAATAGTGTCAAATGTCAATGCTCAAATGCTAGGTGACCTAATGTCAATGCTCAAGTGCTAGGTGATCTAATGTCAATGCTCAAGTGCTAGGTGACTTCAATTCTAGGGGAACAATTTATAATAGAAGTGTCAACTTGAATACAAAAGGAAGAAGAAGAGATGGTAGAAATTTTTTGTAAGACATTCTAGATGCACCAAAATATGTGATTAAATAGCATAAAAATGAAATAAGAAAAAGTTATGCATTCTCTCATTAATAGTGTCATTGCAAGTTCATTACTGCGACTCCAGACCAAAATTCTGTTCTATAAAATTAAGTTGATTGAACCAGTAATCTGTTTTGTAATCTAGAATATGAAGCTTCAAAGTATTTATTTCTATAATAAACTCAAAAGTATGAATAACATAATTGATAATGCTATCCCCTTTTTGAAGCTCATTTGGTCTAGCAAAATAAATCATACCATTTTTAAGAAATCGATCAAACTGTAGATGCTTGATGCTTGGAGGTATAAGATCAACTTTTTTCACCAAGCTCCATAGAAGTATAACAGAAATTAGGTACCTAAATTCCCAGTTAATTTGAAAATAAGAGATGACTAAGGCCAAAAGAAGAAAAAGAAAAATAAGAGATAACTGACGTGATAATGCTGCATTGCATCTAAATGACAGTATAATCAGAGCATTTGGACTGCAATGAAATAATACTTACTGAGATATAACATGAGCAATAGCTGCACCACTGACACCCAAACGGAAAACAAATATGAACAAAGGATCCAATGCTATGTTGGTCACATCTCCTGCCACTTGATTATATCAGAGAAGAGTCGTTAGAATCAATCAGATAATAGCAAATAACTAGATATTTCTTAAATTTGTGAGATTTCGTCTGACTCAACTTTATAAAATTGACTTGTAAGGTGATGGTTAGTGGGGTTTCCAGCAAAATTACAACTAAGTAACAATACAATTCTGTTAAGGCATACATGTGGCATATAAAGGTGTTTTAGTGTCTTTAAATCCTCGGAAGATTCCCTGCATTGCTAATGAGAGAAGAACTGCAGGAGCACCAAGGGACCTCAATATCAGGTAGTTCTGAGCAGGGCTTAGCATAGGAGAGTCCTGAATAAATATAATGTACAATTTAGCATTCATCCATACTGTTACAAGGTCCAATCACTAAAGGAACAAGTTAAAAAAAATGTCAAGCTGCTTAAAGTAAAAGCAAAATTCTCTTAATATTTCTATAAAGCACTTACTGAGGTTACCCCCATGTAGTTCAATAAAGGTTTTGCAGCAGATATGAGGAACATTGTCTGGATGAGCCCAATAATACCACCAATAACTAATGCTGATGAAGCAGAAGGGATATGCTTTCTCTTATGTTCAACCTTAAAGTCAATACCAACCAAATCTAATATTTGATCATTTCCACCTGTGTCTGACCAGAAAAGGATTCAAATTTCAAAATGTGCCAATGTAGGAAACTTCATATTAGCAGTCCTGTGAAGCAATAAGATGTTTACTCTAAAAGATACCTTTACGTGGCATTAGTTCTTTTATTTCATCAGCCATAATTGGAGCTTCTTCCAAGCATTTACTCTTCTCTACTAAAGGACAGGCTTCATTAAGGGTATCTTCTTCAGCAACAAAAGAGGTAGTGACACTAACTAGTGGGAATATTGCAATCCTTGATATTTGATTGAAGAGTGCTATGGACACCCCTACAGCTGCAAGCTCCACTGGACCTGTAGGTATGGTGAATAAATAACATTCAACAATATATAGTCATATGACAAACTTAGATTAAGAAAGATGTCTATTGTTTATACAAATCTCAAAGTTAGTAAACTAATAGAAAGTACCTATTTGACCAATGAATGCTGTGTCAACCAGGGAAGCAATAGGGTCAGCTGTCAAAGCCATTGCTGAAGGCAATGCAATTGACAATATTTCACGACCAAGATTGTCAGATTTGAAAACTAGTCTGCAGTAAGATGAAAATCAGGAACTGCATTAGGAGAGTGTAAGAATAAATACTCAGAATGAAAAACTAAAATCAATGTGGTTAAAGCTTCCCTAGTCACTACAAAACAATGAAAGCACTAGGCAAGGGAAGGGCAGTGGAATTGAAATTTTCACTATACCATGAAATTAATATCATTCAAATTTAAAAAAGAAAATTCAGAGGAAAGAAATTACGGTTTAAATGATACTATGAATTTTGTAGAATGAACGAAACTAAAAGTTTAGCCTAAATTTTTGGATTTTTCAGGAAAAAAAAAAAAGAAGATATTTTCCTTGTACATAATGCCTAAAAGGGAGGAAGAAGAAAGATACAAAAACAAGTACAAAATAAAATAAAAAGAAACCAAAGAGGTAAAAAGGAATCAAACTTCTCCCACAAACTAAAATTAACTCATGTACCTTAATCTTTTTAGATGCTCCTTCATCTAAATTTTATTTGACTTGGTACATACGTTGATTTGAACTTATAAGAGAGGTTTAATTATTATTATTTTTATTTTCTCCTTTTATTGAGAAATTTACATTTACTCATTTGAAATGCCAATAAACCCTACCTAGCATCTGTAAAGAAATTGAAAATTGGAATTCTCCTCCCATTTCCTGATGAATGGAGACTATCTTTGCCTGCCATCTCTAGGATGCCAAATTCAGAATGCTGCTTAGAAAACCACTGAACAGAAGTTGAATAGAATTTAGAGTTATAAGTTAAGTCACTAATACGAAAATGAAAGGATATAAAATGGGCTCCAATAAGTAGAAAATAGAAATGCCTTGTCTTTTCAATTTTTGGCTGGCATTGATTGCTACAATTAAGTGATGTCAGAATTCAGAGAACGTTTCTCCTTGTTTATTTGATTATAGTACCAACACCGAAAAGTTTAAACAGTAAGTTACCTATCTCACTTCCAGAGGAAGTTGAAAGGAAATTTCCTTGGAAACAGCTTCAAACATGAGCAAAGTTGGACCATTGAGATTTGAAACTGAAACATGAAAGTGATTCGAAAGAGAAGACCTAAAGAGGGTGTATATAGACCGGCACAACTGCACAAGTCCATCCATATAAGACAAAGGATGATAGTTAATTGCCATTGAGATTCTCCCTTGACTAAAACAGCATCCAATATTTGGTGTATGTACTGTCATGTAGACGTAAAGTTCTAGCGTACTAAAACATCTTATGTTAGCTTCCAAATTTATTCTATATCTGCCCATGAAAACTGAAAAAACAACATAATAATATATTCTTCATGAGATCACGAGGTAGGTCTTTGGAAAGTAGATTATGAATTTAACTTAACCTTTAAAAATTAATTTTATTTTCTTTTTATATATAATATATAGGATATTTTGAACATAAAATTTATAAAATTAGACATCAATAAATAATTCTTATCTATACAAAAGATGTAACAACAATCTTTTAAAATAAATTTATACCATTTTAGAACTTGAATTATGGAATTCATCAAAATTATTTCTTACTTTTATATATATATATATATATATATATGAGCAAGGACGGAGCCAAGGGGGGACATACGGGTGTCACGGCCCCCCCAACAATTTTAATTTTTTTTTATATACATATATATTACTATATGGCACCCCCTATTTTTAATATAAACTCATATTTTTAATATAAACTCATATGTATATTACTATATGGCACCCCCTATATGGCACCCCCAGTATTGAAATCCTGGCTCCGTCCCTG